CTATGAGTCGGTTCCGACTCGATGGCACCTGACAACAACAGCAACAACATCAGCCCTTAGTCAAATAGTCAACCCCACTGCCTCAGAAGATTTTAAGACCCAGGTTGTTCCTCAATGATGCAAACCTTAATTCAGCCTTTATGTGCCAAGAATGTTGTCTGAGGTAGAGTCTGGTTTTGGGAGTACATTAATAGTGGCAGAGGATGACACCACATAAAGTAGATATATGGGAGCCAAATAAAGCTATTAAAAAAATAGAACCAAAGGAAATAACAAAGGACAATAATATAATACTATGTAGACTTGCCATCACTCGTCTGTCAGTTTATTGTACTGTGGTGGCTTGCATGTACTGTCATGCTGTCATTAATATTTTCGATACCAGCAGGGCCATCCATGGTGGGCAGCTTTTAGCGGAACTTCCAGACTAAGACAGATTCGGAAGAAGGAGAGGTGAACTACATCTGAATGTTTAGCCACTAAAAACCTTATGAATAGCAGCAGGACATTGTCAGATATAGTGCCAGAAGATGAATCCCTCAGGTTGGAAGGCACTCAAAACATGACTGGGAAAGAGCTGCCTTGAACTGACTTTTGAGACCTTGATTTGCTGATGGGACACAACTCAAAATGTGAACAAACAGCTGCAAACATCTCTATTAAGAATCAGAACGTGGGATGTATGAACTAGGAATCTAGTAACATTGGAAATTCCCAAAAATGAAATGGAATGCATAAAGATCAATATCCTAGGCATTAGTGAGCTGAAATGGACTTGTACCAGTAATACTGAATCTGACAGTCGCATGGTTTACTATACCGGGAGCAACAAATTCAAGAGGAACAGCGACACAATTATCATCAAAAAAGAACATTTCAAGATCTACCTTGAAGTTTAATGCTATTTTTGATAGGATAATATCCATACTCCTATAGGGCAGACTTGCTAATACCACCATTATTTAAATTTATGCACTGCCCACTAAAGCCAGGGATGATGAAATGAAAGATTCTACCAAATTCTTCAGTCTTGAAACTGATTAAACATGCAATCAAAGTGTGTTGATAATTACTAATTTAACAGAGATTTCACAGGGCAACTCAAGAAGACAAATTCAAGTAGTATAATGAAATGTTCAGAGACCTGGAGTTAGAAAACCAAAAACTCAGCATTTCTCATGGTGAAAGAACTGAAGAAAAAAATCAAGCCTCAACCTATAATATTGAAGGATTCTATGGCAAAATATTGAATGATGTAGAAAGCATATAAAGAAGATGGAAGGAATACACAGTTATTGTACCAAAAATAAATGATTATTCGACCATTTCAAGAGGTAACGTGATCAACAGCCAATGATACTGAAAGAAGTCCAAAGTGCCTTGAAGGCATTGGCAAAGAACAAGACTCTGGGAATTGAAGGAATAAAAATTGAAATCTTTAAACAAACTGAGGCAGCACTTGGAGGCTCATCTATGTCAAGAAATTTGGAAGAAAACTACCTGGCCAAGTGATTGGTTGTTGTTGTTGTTGTTATGTGCCGTGGAGTCAGTTCCGACTCATAGCGACCCTGCACAGGGTTTCCAAGGCTGTTAATCTTTATGGGAGCAGAACGCCTCATCTTTCTCCCGCGGAGCAGCTGGTAGTTTCGAACTGCTGACCTTGCGGTTCGCAGCCCGATTTGTAGCCACTACGCTACCAGAGTGATTGGTAGAGATCCATATTTGTGCCCATTCCAAAGAAAGGTGACCCATTGGAATGTGGAAATCAGGAAGGTCAAGCGGATTCAGAAGAGGACGTGAACTGGGGATATCATTGCTGATGTTAGATGGATGTTAGCTGAAAACAGAGAATACCAGAAAGATGTTTGCTCGTGCTTTACTGACTAATCAAAGGCTTTCAACTATGTAGATCATGATAAACTATGAACAACATTGTAAAGAATCAGCATTACAGAATATTTAATTGTACTCATGAAGGACCTAGCCATATACCAAGAGGCAGGCAGACCAGAACAAGGTAATAGGTCTAATGTCAGGGAAGATATGTATTATGTGCCAGTGATGTACCCTTTCACCATATGTTCAATTTTTATGCTGAACAAATAATCTGAGAAGCTGTATTATATGAAGAACATGGCATTAGGATTAGAGGAAGACTCATTAAGCAACCTGTTATATGCAGATGGTTCGACCTTGCTTACTAGAAGCAAAGAGGACTTATCCTGATGAATATCAAATACTACAGCTTTCATTTCACCACAATATAACAAAAACCAAGATCCTCACAACTGGACCAGTAAATAAATAACATCATAATAAATGGAGATAAGATTGAAGTTGTCAAAGACTTCATTTGCTTGAATCCACAGTCAACACTCAAGCAGCATCACAAAATCAAACAACATATTGCATTAGACAAATCTGTTGCACAAGACCTTTTAAAAATGTTAAATAGCAAAGGATATCCATTTGAGGACTAAAGTGCACCTAATCCAAGCCATGGTATTTTCAGTCGTCTCATATACGTGGAAAGTTGGACAGTAAGGAAGACCATAGAAGAATTGCTGCATTTGAATTGTGGTGTTGGAGAAGAATATTAAAAGCATCATGGTCTGCCAGAAGAAAAAACAAGTCTGTGATGCAAGAAGTGCAGCCAGAATGCTGCTTAGAAGCAAGAATGTTGTGCCTTCTTGTCTCTTATAATTTGGACATATAAGGGCGGACAGCCCCTGCAGAAAGACAGCATGGTTGGTAAAGTGGAAGGGTCAGTGAAAATGAGGAAGAACCTCAAAAAAGATGGATTGACACAGTGACAGCAGCAATGGGTTCAAATGTTATAGCAATTGTGAGGGTTGTTCAAGAGTGGGCAGTGTTTTGTTCTGTTGTGTGTAAGATAAGAACCTTACAACAAGACGGTATCTAACAACAACATTCACCAATAATAATTTCAAGTGCTGTTAGACAGCAGATTAGAAATGTGTGAATGCTTGTTGCAGTAAATTTTATTTTTTTTGAAACAATTATACAGGTAATCCTTTTGGCCACATGGAAGAAAGAAGATAATTGAAGTGTTACAGATCAGATTAAGTATTTGTTAGTGCAAGATACATGTTGTTAGTTGCCATTGAGCTGGGGTTTGCTCATAGCAACCTTGTGTCCAACAGAATGAAATAGTGTTTGGTCTTGTGCTATAAAAACCATGTGGAAGCCATGTCTGACTTACCTGATTTCACAAGGGGGAAAGAGAATCAAACTCAAAAATCAGCTCAAGCTGATTCCTATGAAACGGAAGTTAGATATGCTTCCAGCCTACAACCTTCTTTACCCTATTCTGACACCAACCATCCCTCCCACAACACTCTTTGCTTCACACCTGGGATCGATAACCCATTGCAAAGGCCACACACAACTGAACAAATACTCATGGGTATGAGGTTTCTTAGGGAATTGAACAGGGTCTAGTTCAGGATCACAGTCAACTCAGGACGCAGCAGTTCTCCACTCAGGACTGCCTCTTATCTGTGATACTGCAGGTACGCCTCACTCTTGTCTTCAGCCTTTCAACCATGGGGTCCTTTGGCTACTGCCCTGCTCAAGCAGGTGTTACAAAGCTCCTTTACCCAGTATTTGAATGCCCCAGAGGCACATTCTGCAAGCCAGACTCATGCCCACACGTTCTCAGTTTTACTCAGTCCATAGGCCTACAGCCTGAAGCTGCTCTGTCTCTCCATGCTGTTGTCTCTGTTTCTGTAGGTACGGATCTCAGGCTCTTCCTTTTTTATGGTCCTGGGATCTTCTGTCTCTGCTTCCAAGATGGCTCCTTTTAAATCTAGCAGCTGAAGGGCAAAACTAACCAATCCCAGCCTTAGAGTTCTGTATGCCTTATTTACATGGTCCCTTCCAAATAAGAGTCCTAGTGTGGCACTGTGGGATAATGCACTGAACTGCAAGGTCGGCAGTTCAAATTGACCAATCTCTCCTCAGAAACCGTATTCACAGTTGTTATTAGTTAGAATCGACTCGAAGGCACTTAATTACAACAACAACCCAATCACTTGGTGGGAATGAAGACATTGGATATATTCATATTCAGTAAATTCAAGGCAGCACATGTACTGTCAGTTCAATTATTGGTATGCTTGAGTCTACTGTTGCGGTCACTATGCATTTTGCATGTCTTTCAATTTCAGGGCTCATCTTCCTAGCAGTATATCAAGCAGTATTCTGTTGTGATCCATAGTGTGTTCATTGGCTAATTTTCAAAGTACATCTCCACTTTTCTTCCTAGTGTGTCTTAGAGTGCAAGCACTGCTAATATCTGCCCACTATGGGTGACGCTGCTAGTATTTTAAATACCAGTGACATACGTCCAGCCTCTTGACAATAATGCAAGTCTCCACAGTATGACAAACTGAAAACTGCGTGGTGGAAATACACAAATATATACCACATGAATTAAAAACTTTAGAGATATGGACACCTTTCCATGTTTTGACATAATTTATAATATTGATTCCTCAGGCGCTGCAACACCATATATGTAGCAAAGATTCCTTGGACTGTGGTAAGCTGCTTTCCCTAAGAACTCACATAACGACCAGGGAGAGTTTGGACTCTATGGATTTTGACTTTCATTGGGCAGCAGTAACTCTAGCAAATACCTTTAAATGTACACCTGTGAAGCCCATCCCTATAATTCCAACAGCGTTGGCAAGAAACTTGAGCAGTAATCTGAGTATTTCCCAAGTTCAAGGTACCTATAAATACGGGTAAGTAAAGCATATTAATGTAAAAATTTAAATACATGTTGCAATAGTGTATCTTCAGGATACCTACATAAAATGAAATAATTACACGCTAGAGACTTATGGTGGTAGAACATATAACCAAGAAAGGAAATAAGTGATGTTAATATTTGGTACATGTAGAATTTTCTTTCAAAGGGTTGTACCCAGTACCCTAAGAAAAATTTGGTGGTACAATTATATTACAATTGGTTATATTTTGTGATTTAAAAATATAAGGAGATATGATCTTCCATGTCATTTTACCCTTTTTATTGCCTAGGTTTGGTCCTTTTTCTGTTTTTATTACTGTAACCTAACTAACTGTGAACCTGAGCGAGATTGGAAAATTTACATTGGGAGTTTTGTGAATAATGACTGTTATAGATAGAGAAAGGAGATAATTAAGTAAAAATTTACAGAATTGTTGCTTATCCAATTGTCAACTACTTGAAGGTGGAGTTTCCTCACAGAGCTAAACCAGTATCGTCTCGTGCTGCTTCCTGCCAATACTGTTAGGTTTCTTAGGAAATGTAAGCCGAATTGCTTTCTTTCTAATCCTCAGTGGGGTGGCTTCCTGAATTCCTCATCCACTTTCTTTACCTATTGTATGCTGTACTAGGTTACACAGTATTGGCACCCTTTTGCTGTTAAGTCTGACCAGAGTCAGCCCTCAGCAGTTAACTCTGGCATCATTTCCCATTGACTCCACCCTGTTCCTGTTAGGTCTCTAGAGTCAAAGATGTTTGCTGCCATATACTCAGCTCTAAGTTTTATTCTCTGAACATGCCTTCTTAAAAGAGGAAGAGGAAAAGGAAAAGACAGGGTTTATTTTTTTGCCCCCAGAGGGTTCCTGAAATAGCAAGGAAGGTCTAATTTTGAGTCTGAGATGCTGAAAGTACCTTTCTGTTTGATTTGAAGCAAGAAAAAAGTATAAAATAATGAATATAGTGTGAGGACAAAATATGTTAAAATTAAATGGGACATTTATTTCTCATGGAATAATAATAAAATGCTTCTCAACTAGGCATTGGAAGTTTTGATAAAAATAACTAGAAAGTAATTTTTCCTTAGTACCTGTGCCCAGCTGTAAGTGAAGGCATGACTCTACCTTTTTTTCTTTCAGTACCCTTTCTTGGTATGTTGGTGGTCACCCTGAGTGTTCGCTATTCCATCCAGTCTCCTATTTGCCTTGCCCCTTCACATAAAATCATTTATTGAGATTAACATGTACCCTGTCCCTGGCCACAGTCACTTATTAACTCTGCTGTTTATTATGCTCCATTATGGGTTGGGTGTTGTGTTAGGCACTGGAGATAAATAGATAATAAAACATATTTGGGATTTCTGGCAAGATGGTGAACTAGGCAGACATACTACACAGATGCTCTACAGCAAAGATGTCAGAGACCAAATGAAACATGGATGATAAACCTGGAACCCAAAGATTCAGAAAAAGTATAGAAAAATGGATTGAAAACTGACTGGGAGAAGTTGAACAAAAGCAGAGAGAGAAAAAACACAGATGAGTGAACTGTAGGCCGGCCTGCTGCAATGTAGCCATCTTGAATTCTTGTAAACAGCATTCGATTGAGGCAGTGGTCTGACAACACAAAATGCACACTGGTGGCTGGTAGTGAGAAAGTTGGGGTCCTTCCCTGTTCCTCACATGCTCTAGGTGAATAGCAGGGGATATAGTGCTGGAAGATGAGCCCCTCAGGCTGAAAGGCTCTCAAAATGCAACTGGGGAAGAGCCACCATCTCAAAGTAGAGTTCACTTTGATGATATGAATGGAGTAAAGCCCTCAGGACCTTGATTTGCTGATGGGGCACAACTTAAAATGAAGAGAATCAGCTGTAAAAATCCATTATAATTGGAACGTGGAATGTATAAATCTAGGAAAATTGGAAATTGTCAAAAATGAAATGGATTGTATAAATTATAATATCCTAGGCATTAATGAGCCAAAGTAGACAGGTATTGGCCATTTTGAATCTGACAATCACATGGTTTACTATTCTAGGAATGCCATATTGAAGAGGAATGGCATTGTATTCATCATCAAAAACAACAAATCAAGATCAGTCATGAAGTACAACACTGTCTGTGATAGGATAATATCCATACAGCTACAAGGAAGACTGAACCCATACTGAAGGCTATGGTCTTTGATCTTCATCAGTAAGTATTTTAAGTCCACTTTCAGCAAGCCTTTGGTATGGGTTGCATTTCAATATAAAGAAAACAAAAGTCCTTATTACTGGACCAATAAACAACATGTTTATCAGTGGAGAAAATATTGATGTTGTCAAGGACTTCATTCTTCGTGGATCAACTATCAACACTCATGGAAGCAGCAATCAAGAAATCAGACGACATATTGCATTAGGCAAATCTGTTTCTCAAGACCTTTTTTAAAAGTGTTGAAGAGCAAAGATACCAGTTTGAGGACTAAGGTGTGCCTGACCCAAGTCATGGTGTTTTCAGTAACCTCATATGCATGTGAAAGTTGAACAGTGAATAAGGAAGACTGTAGAAGAATTGATGCATTTGAGTTATGGTGCTAGAGGAGAGTATGGAAAGCACCATGGACTACCAAAAGAACAAATAGGTATGTGCTGGAAGAAGCACAGCCGGACTGCTCCTTGGAAGCCAAGATGGCCAGACTTTTTGTCTCTCATACTTTGGGCATATTGTCAGGAAAGACCAGTCACTAGGGAATGATATCCTAGGCATTAATGAGCCAAAATAGACACATATTGGCCAATACCAATGATATCATATTTGGTAAGGTGGAGGGTCAGCAGAAAAGAGGCAGACCCCCATCCAGATGGATTGGCACAATGGCAGTATCAATAACAGTAGCAATGATTGTGAGGTTGGTCCAGGACCAGGCAGTGTTTCATTCTGTTGTGTATAGGGTCACTATGAGTCGGTACCAACTTGATGGCACCTAACAATAACAAGGGAGACCAATTAATACCACTGTCATCCAAATTTAGTCATCAACCACTAAAGCCAGTAATGAAGAAATTGAAGAATTCTTTCAACTTCTTCAGTCTGAAATTGATCAAACATGGAATCAAGATATATTGATAATTACTGGTGATTGAAATGCAAAGGTTGGAAACTGGGAGATCAGTGGTTGGAAAATATGGTCTTGGTGATAGAAATTATATGAGAGATCACATAATAGAATTTTGCAAGACCAATGACTTCTTCATTGCAAATACCTTTTTTCAACAACATAAAAGACAACTATACACATGGACCTTACCAAATGGAATAAACATTGGAAGAGCTCCATATCATTAGCTAAAACAAGGCCAGGGGCAGAGAGTGGAAGGGATCATCAATTGCTCATATGCAAATACAGACTGAAGCTGAAGAAAATGAAAACAAATTCACTAGAGCCAAAATATGACCTTGAATGTATATCACCTAAATTTAAAGATCATCTGAAGAGCAGATTTTATGCACTAGACAATAAAGATCAAAGACCAGAAGAGTTGTGGGATGATATCAAGAACATCTTACAGGAAGAAAGCAAAAGTTCATTAAGAAGATAGGAGAGAAGGAAAAGACCAAAATGCAGGTCAGAAGGGAATCTGAAACTTGCTCTCCAGTGTAGAGATGCTAAAGCAAATGGAAGAATTGAGGAGGTAAAAGAGCTGAACAGAAAATTTCCAAGGTCAGCTCTAGAAGACGAAGTCCAGTATTAAAATGAAATGTGCAAAGACATGAAGTTGGAAAACCGAAAGGGAAGAACACGCTCAGCATTTCTCAAGCTGAGAAAACTCAAGAAAAAATTCAATCCTCAACATGTGGCATTGAAGGATTCTCTGGGCAAAATATTGAATGATACAGAAATTATCAAAAGAAGATGGAAGGAATACACAGAGTCACTGTACCAAAAAGAAATGGTCGATGTTCAACCATTTCAAAAGGCAGACTATGATCAAGAGCCAGTGATCCTGAAGAAAAAAGTCCAAGGTGCATTGAAGGCATTGGCAAGAACAGGGCATTGGGAATTGATGAAATATAAATTGAAATTTTTCATCAAACTGATGTTGCACTGGAGGCACTCACTCATCTATGTGAGTGGACATAGGAAGACAACTACCTGGCCAACTAACTGGTGGAGATCTGTATTTGTGCCCATTCCAAAGAGAGGTGACCCAGTGGAATGTGAAAATCATCAGACAATATAATTGATATCCCATGTGAGTAAAATTTTACTAAAGGTAATACGAAAATGGCTGCATACATAAATTGACAGAGAACTTGCCGAGGTTCAAACTGGTTTCAGAGGAGAACATGGAAAAGGGATATTACTGCTGATGTCAGATAGATCTTGGCTGATAGAGAATACTAGAAAGATGTTTATCTGTGCTTTATTGACTACACAAAGGCTTTTGATTGTGAAGATCATGACAAGCTATGGACAACATTGCAAAGTATGAGGATTCCGGAACACTTAATTGTGCCCATGAGGAACCTGTACATAGACCAAGGGACAGTTGTTAGAACAGAACAAGGGAACACCTAATGGTTTAAAATTAGGTAAGTTGTGCACCAGGTTTGTATTCTTTCACCATACTTGTTCAGTTTGTATGCTGAACAAATCTGAGTAATTTGCTGAGAAGCTGGATTAAAGAAGAAGGTGGCATCAGGACTGGAGGAAGACTATCAACCTGCGATATGCAGATGATACAGTTTTGCTTGCTGAAAGTGAAGAGGACTTACAATACTTACTGATGAAGATCAAAGACCACAACCTTTAGTATGGGTTGCATCTCAATATAAAGAACAAAAATCTTCACCACTGGACCAATAAACTACATCCATATAAATGGAGAAAAGATTAATGTTGTCTAAGGCTTCATTTTGTTCAGATCAACCATCAACACTCATGGAAGCAGCAATCAGGAAATCAAATGATGTATTGCATTAGGCAACTCTGTTGCACAAGACTTTTTAAAAG